TACAGGGTCGCTATGTGTCGGAACCAACTCGATGGCACATAACAACAACAACAAAACAAAGAACTCTTCCTGGTGCTACCAGAAACTAGAAGAGACAAGGAAGGATCGAGAGCAGGGGTGGGGAACATCCAGCCCATGGCTTGTATGTTGTTGTTGTTGTTAAGTACCGTTGAGTTGGTTCCGACCCATAGCGATCCTGAACAGGGTTTCTGAGGCTGTAAATCTTTACGGGAGCAGAAAGCCTCATCTTTCTCCCGCAGAGCAGTTGGTAGTTCCTAACTGCTGACCTTGCGGTTCGCAGCCCAATTCGTAACCACTATGTTACCAGAGCTCCTTATGGCCTGTATAAGCATCGTGAAATCATTGGGTCTGGTCCTACCTAGGCAATCACAGTTCAGGCCATTACATGTTGTTGTTAAGTTGACTTTGTGGTTCAAAGCCACCTTGCCATCCTGGGCTTATTCTACACTGTAACACGATCACATTGTTGTTGTTGTTAGGTGTCATCAAGTAGGTACTGACTCGTAATGATCCTTTCCACAACAGACCAAAACACAGCCCTGTCCTGCACCAAACTCACAATTGTTGCTCCATTTGAGCCCACTGTTGCTGTCACTGTGCCAATACATCTTGTTGGGGGTCTTCCTCTTTTTCTCTCACCCTCCACCTTATCAAACATGATATCCTTCTCCAGGGACTGGTCCCTCCTGACAATATGTCCGAAGTATGAGAGACAAAGTCTGGCCATCCTGGCCTCCAAGGAGCACTCCGGCTGCACTTCTTCCAACACAGATCTGTTGGTTCTTTTGACAATTCATGGCACTCTTAGTATTTTTCTCAAACACCATAGCTCAATTGCATCAATTCTTTTACAGTCTTCATTCATTCACTGTCCAACTTTCATAGACATATTGAAAATACCATGGCTTCGGTTGTGTGCACCTTGGTCCTCAAACTGATTAACTTGGCTTTGGAACACTTTGAAGAAGTCTTGTGCAGCAGATTTGCCTAATGCAATACGTCATTGGGTTTCTTGACTGGTACTTTCATGAGTGTTGAGGGTTGATCCAAACAAAATGAAGTCTTTGGCAACTTGAATCTTTTCTCCATTTATATGGATGTTGTTTATTGGTTCAGTAGTGAAGATTTTTGTTTGTTTTACATTGAAGCACAACAATGTATAGTCTTTGTTCTTCATCAGTAAGCATTTTAAGTCCCCTTGACTTTCAGCAACCAAGGCTGTATCATCTGACTATTGCAGATTGTTAATGAGTTTTCCTCTAATCTTGATGCTAAATTTTTCTCCATATAATCCAACTTCTCAGATTAGTTGCTCAGCATAAAAATTGAATAAGTATGGTGAAAGAATGCAACCCTGGCACACACCTTTCCTTATTTTAAACCATTCAGTGTTCCCTTGTTCTGTTCGAACTGCCACTTTGAACTTCAAGGTAGATTTTGATATGTTGTTTTTGATAATGAATGTGATGTCATTCCTCTTCAATTAAGTGGCCAATACCAGTCCATTTCAACTCACTAGTGCCTAGAATATTGATGTTTATGGGCTTCTTTTTACTTTTGAAAACTTTCAAATTTCCTAGAGTAATACTTCATACATTCCATGTTCCAATTATTAACAGATGTTTACAGCTGTGGCTCTTCATTTTGAGCTGTGTCCCATCAGTAAATGAAGGTCCTGAAGACTTTACTTCATTTGCATCATCACAGTCAACTCTACTTGAGGAGCCAGCTCTTCCCTAGCCGTAATTTGAGTCCCTTCAAACCTGAGGAACTCATTTTCCAGCACTATATCTGATTCTCTTCATCATGTTTCAGTATTTAATATCCTGATGCCGTCACTAGAAGGGTTTCAGTCCATTTCTTCTTCCTAGTCTGTGTTCATCTGTTGCTCAGCTGAAAGCTGTCCATCATGGGTGACGCCAGTGCTATTTCAAATACCTGTGGTATGGCTTCCAGCATCACAGCCACACACAAGTCACCACAGTATGACAAAGTGACAGATGAGTGACGAGCCATCATATTGCTGTTGTTGCTGTAGCTAAGTGCTGTTGAGTCAATTCCGATCCATAGCAACCCTATATAGGGTTTGCAAGGCGCAACTGGTGAGCTTGAACCATCACATTGTTGTTGTTGTTGTTGTTAGGTGCCATTGAGTCAGTACCAACTCATAGCAACCCTATGCACAACAGTACGAAACACTGCCTGGTCCT